AGGAGCAAGGGCATCGCTACTAGTAACAAGAAGCTACTAGGGGCTCCGGGCCTTGCTACTGGGAGCAAGGACGGTAGTAGGGGCTCCTGAGCGCTACTAGGAGCAAGGGCATCGCTACTACTAACCAGTAGCTACTAGGGGCTCCTGGCCTTATTACTAGGAGCAGGGACGGTAGTAGGGGCTTGTGGCATCGGTACTAGGAGCAAGGGCATCGCTACTAGTAACAAGAAGCTATTAGGGGCTCCTGGCCTTACTACTAGGAGCAAGGACGCTACTAGGGGTGCTGGGATCGCTACTAGGAGCAAGGGCATCGCTAGTAGGTACAAGAAGCTAGTAGGAGCTCCTGGCCTTACTACTAGGAGCAAGTTCGCTACTAGGGGCTCCTGGCATCGCTACTAAGGGCATCGCTACTAGTAACAAGAAGCTACTAGGGGCTCCTGGCCTTATTATTAGGAGCAAGGAGGCTCCTAGTAGGGGTTCCTTGCCTTACTACTATAGGTGCAAGGACGCTACTAGGGGTTCCTGGCCGTACTACTAGGAGCAAGGACGCTCCTAGTAGGGGCTCCTGGCCTTACTACTATAGGAGCAAGGACGCTACTAGGACTCCTGGCCTTACTACTAGGAGCAACGGGCGTTTCTAGGGTTCTCTTTCGGCCTTCTCCAGTGGCCGTTCTCCACAAAGAGGCCGAAAAACTGTCAGGGACAGAAACACCGTGTTCGACTGAACCCCATGTACACCGGTGTGTGGCCCGTTTGGTGGGTATGATCCGAGGTGAGGTGGGCATTGGAGCCCGTGAAGGGCTAGATCGCCTTTTTGCAAATCAAGGCCCCAGACAGGCGATGACACACATGCCCCAGGAAGGGGAGATGCTTGCTTGTTACGTTCGTAGCGATGGCCTCATGGCCTCCAATCTAGTAGCTTCTAGTTACAGTATGTAAGTGACCAGGAGATAGAATATACAAAGAGTCTAGTTTTCTATCCTATGCTGCAGCCTTTGCTGCAGGAGTTCCTTTTAGCTTGTCATGTTGCGCTCCCTACTGTCACAGCAACGGTTTGTGGAGCGCCTGCAAGTTGGTACTTGGTTGGTGTCGCACCCACCAACATTTCCAGAGCTGAATGTACAGCCCCAAATCCCACGGTTTCACCTCCTGGTGCATATACAAAGATCAGTGAAAAACATGAATGAGGATCAAATTCACTGAGAAAGACCTGGTAAAAATAGCACATAGAATACGATGCAGTTAGAATATGGTGGAACGGCCATTGAATCAACACCACAGAAGACCATACTTCTTGTTGCTGTCTCTGTTTGGTCTTTGTCCCCTGCTCTATTTCACAGGACTTCCACAGGGCCCAAAGGAGCACGCACAAGGACTGCGCACACCAAAGGAGCACCACATGGGACCATACTGCAAAGGCAAACCTAGCGGTGCCCAGCGGTTTTCCCAGCGACACCTGGGTGATGTTGCCCAATGCAAAACAAGCACGGATCACGTAAGTCATCAACCAGCTCTACTATAGTAGGCAAAGCATGCATTATTTGTTGGCACCTCCTGGACCTCATTAAACAGAGAATCATCGAGAAGCTAAGATGTACCACTCTTGTTTTCTATGTGTCTTGTATATTCTAAGTGCATTGGTGTACATCCTAAGTGCATGGAAGTTTCATGGAAGCTGCGAAATACATGTTCATATTCTAACCACATTCCCGATTCCTCATGTTGAATTCGAACTGCCAGTCACCTACACTACTAAGAAGCTTCAAAGACATACTTAGCACTCTTCTTTATGGCTTAAATTGACTACTTGCACGTGTTGCTTCCACAACAGGGAGAATGCCTGCCAAAGGGCTTTGAACTTCTGACAAGCAACAAGGTGTCCTTCAACATTGCTCAGCACAGCCAAAAGAAGCCGTATTGGACCCGTGCAGAAATAACTCATTGGCTTCCAATAGACGTTTCTACAAAAATGCATCGGCAAGGTCTTTGATATTCGCCTCTACTCCCGATGTTTTTTTCTGAAACTTGCATCTAGAAGGTTTTGCGTTTGGAACGTGTTTTTTCCTCCGCAACTTTGAACAACAATGCCTTCCTTGGCATACCATAGTCTCAATGACGCTTAGGAAAGTGTTTTTCAGTGTTTCAAAAGTACAGACATGGTTGCCGTGAAGAACACCAACCCTAAGCTGCTAGGCAGTGGAAGCATTGAGCGTCGCAACTGCCGCAGCCAACAATTCGCAGATGAAACCAGCAAGGCGCTGCCGTTGACCACGGTTGATAGTTGAAGAAACCCCACAGGGTCCACGAATCCAAGGTGAAGGGATCCGCAGCAGAACCTGTATAGAAACATTGATAGGTTCATATATGTTCATATGTTATGTTACTAGTAGCTTCTTGTTACTAGTAGTAAGGCCAGGAGCCCCTAGTAGCTTTTTGTTACTAGTAATTAGCAAAGAATGTTGGTTCGTGTGTTTGCAAAGAATGTTTAATTAATTCTGAGTCCCGACAAGAAGCGCATGAAAGTCCTATCGAAGCGTGCTGCTACCAAGCTCGTGCCCTGTATGTTTGGACCGAGGCATTTCTGGAGAATTGTGGAGAGAGTGGAAGGAATGGCACGGCAAACGTTTGCGGATTTACCCTTGGTCTTGGAACACATAGCGCAGTTCCAGGCATTGAGCCCAGCGACTGTACAAGTGCAACTTTGTGAGTGGCGGCAATTTCTGCAATTCATTGAGAGAAGAAGCAGATCCTAGGAATTGCAGAAGCGATGGCCTTCAACCTACTAGCGATGGCCTCCAATCTAGAAGTGAACGCAAGAAACTGGACGTGGCAGTTTCATTTGTGTGGTGGTTTTTAACCAACACTGCCCCAAACAGCACATAAGGACTCCCAGCGCCAGAAATTCCAAGCGCCTGCAAAATCCTGGATGACGATGAGGACGAGACAGCAGAGAGATCTGAGGGTACACCTGTGCCCGAGGCCATTTCATCCGACACTTCCGACTCTGATGTCCCGGAGATGGACAACATCTCAGAGGGCCGACTTCAACCTCTCGCCGACCCGAGGCCATCACTGGGAGCACCAGAAGCGGAGAACCGATCCGGAAAAGATGCTGAAAAGCACTATGTGGAAGCTGTGGGCCAAGTCCTGCAGAACTACAAGGCTCGCCATGAGGAGCTGTTCGGTTCTGTTTTATCATGCTCTCTCAGGGCCCAAGAAGAGGACGCTCGCTGCCAGGCGTGACGTGGGGACATCCTTTTTAAAATGGGATGGTTGACAGGTTTGAATTCGCGTCCGCTGTCACAATCCCACCGTCAGAGTGCGACCAGCAGAAAGAACACACCTCCTTCCTGCGAGCAGCGCAGGCGGCATCATTGAAATACTTCGAGATTTGCGCGGCGGAAATGGAATCGCAAAGAGACTTACGTGCCTGCCTGCTGGAGGGCTACAAGCACTCAGCGCGGGAAGAGCCTTTGCGTCGACAGGTCAAGACGTTGGACAAGACTTTGGAGATTCTCAAGCCAGCCGAAAGCGAAGACGTCCGACAAGGTTTGCAATCTGAAGGCCAAGAAGGTCTAGCACCGGAGGATGCTTCCGAGGTATCCGAACAGTCTCGAACCTTCACTGCAAGACGTGTAATTATGTGTGTGACACTTGTATGCACAAATGTACAACGAGGTAACTATCATGAGACAATAAAGCCGCAAGTGGGATTACTCAGAAGGTTATTTGCTGGTTTCAGGTACATGTGATTTTTCACTCAGCTTCCGTATCGTGACAGGACACTTGTTTTGCCAACTGTCAAGTAATGCAATTTCGAATATTTGCCATGATGTGTTTTGTACTGTGTGAACAGCTCTTTTGAGCACCACAGCCGTGTTCCGTTGAGCGCTTGCATTGCACGACAAAGTCGAGGCCCCAAAAAATCAAAAAAGGCTTCAAGCTTTTAAAGCTTTGTTCTCAGGATTTGGAATGTCAAGCTCCTCAACCTTGCCTCCTGTGCAGAGCGAAGCTTTTAGCGTGGCACTTCCAAAGCCACCCCCGTCCATGGAGGAGCACCATCAACGAGGCCTTAGAGTACGAGAGGCCAAGTTGAAGCAGGTGATCAACGACCTCGGCAAAGAACGGGAGAGAGCTTTGAAGAGAGTACCCAGGGATGATGAGATTTCCAGCGATGCTGGGAATTGAAATGATTTGTGAAAAGGAACTTGCAGTTGGTACTTGTCTAATACTCATCAAAAGATCAATGGGGCAGCAATGCACTCATAAGATTCAGGAAGGAACTGTTTTGATCTACTTCATCCAGCTTCCAGCATTGGTGTTTGGAGGAGTGTGGAGGACTTGGGACACCATTTCTACAAGGCCATTGCTGGTTTTCTTGCTACTTGTAGTATGCTAGTAGGGCTTAGGGTGGAGGCCATCATAGGCCGCTTTTCGAGACTGAGGATGTGGAGCGGCTCCGCAAGCGCCATGCGTCGATGCAATCACAGAAGGAGAGAGCGGAAGGAGAGATGCGACGCGCAGAAGCTAAGAGGGCTTCGGCCGAACGCGAACTGGTACAGAGAAAGGTGCTCCTTGTGAACCTGAAGGCGGAATTGCTTTGTCAAATCGGCTGTTGAAAGGATATTGAGGAAAAAAAACTTATACATAGCTTATACCTACCAATTCCTTTTTTTTTTCTTTCCGCCTTTTCTTCTCGTTATAAGTTATCGAACGAAAAAATGGAAGGAACGAGAGAGAGACAGAGAGAGAGAGGGAGAGAGAGAGAGAGAGAGAGATCGACACGTCGTCGCCTCATGGCCAGGCGGACATTGATGCCATGGAGGAGATGCTTGCTCCGCTGTGTCCGAAAAGAACCATCGGAGCGTGGTCCGCGTGGCACATGTTTCTTCACCAGAGCACTTATATAGAGTTGCACCGATGACAGATGCAATCAGGTGCCAGTTTTTGACCGTCTATATAGTTGTGTTGGCATGGCTTTGGCGCTGCAGCACGTCTTAGTGGTACGTGGCAGTTGCGGGAGCATGTGGTTTTTTGTGCAATCCAGCCGCTTGATATTCGCCTCAAATATTCGCAATGCGCTCAGGTTGTGGAAGATCTCATGAAGCAGGAGGAGGAGTTGTCTGAAGTCCACTCCTCAAGACTGACCTTCAAGCCTTGCAGCTATGAAGCATGTCATGCTGCACCACGCCGCCTGTGAATTGTGTTGTATTTTGCAATTTTTGGCTCGACAGTTTTCTGCAAAATCCGTGTTTATTTGAGCATATTTAGCAAGCTGACAGTGGCATAAGTTAGCACCCAAGGGTGCTTTGGTAGTTCAGTGGCAGCGGTAGCACCTTGATTAGTCTTAAGTCGTTGGCTGTTGCAACCACAGCCGAGTAGGGATGGCGATGGTTTCACCATGACCAAGCAGAAGCTGACCAAGGACAGCTAGAGAGGGTTTCGCAGGTTCAGGTGTGTTTGTGTAGCTCCTTTTCCAAAATAGTTCACGGCATTTTGTGCAAGGGTTCGCCAAACTGAAACTTAAACAAGAATCCAATCTCTCGTGATGGGTTCATGTGCGACAGTGAAGCTCAAAAAATATTTTGCTGCAAAAACAGTGCAATGGCTAAAGGAATCAACTTACTATCAATACTGGGCCAATTCAGAATTTGCGGCATTAGGCACTGTATCATTCTTTCCGGTGGCTTGAAAGGGCAAGCTGTGCTGTGTTTGATGTGATGAAGGTCGCCCGCAGCCATCTTTGGGCACAAGAAGTATAATCCAATCGCCTGTCTCACAATGGCGGCTTGGCAATACTCGGCCTGAATGAGTGACAACAAACACTGACATTTGAATGTTATGAATCATGAAGCCTTAAGATGTGAAAATGCGGGTTGGAGGCCATCGCTATTAGGTTGGATGACCCCCTCCGTTCAGATGACTCAGCACGCCACGCTTCGAGGCACGGCGTGCTGGCGGATTGGCCTTCCTGCTCTTGAGCGCAGCCGGCTGCGCATTCCTGGCGCCGATGCCGCAGATCGCGGCCCCAGCTGCGCAGATGGCGGCCACCCAACTGCTGCTTGCAGAGATCGACATGACAGAGCCCTACAGGCCGCGCTTGGATGAATGCGCAGAGGTTACTCGTAGCTGCCGATTTCGGAGAACTGGCTTGGAATGCATGGATTGTTCCCGTGAAACATTAGATCATTAGATAGATAGGGAATTCTTGGCGAAGGAATGTACACTTGGAATTAATTGGACTTGGATGGAGCTAGTTCCAAAAGAGCCCTGGAGAGTTGCACAGGCCGGAAGAAGAGCCAGAAAGCCCTGCGAATATAATGATCTTTCTGACATTGACCTTTGTGCTAGCTGCGTTCATTTTGCCCTTGCTTTTTGCGGGCATCCAATCCAAGAATGCTGACATTGCCGGCGCAGACGAGCCGCGGAATGGAGCCAGTCTTTTTGGGGGCCATGGTGTTGAGAGGGGCTAGGAAAATGAGGCAAGTGTGGCAAGGCCTATAGGCCTATAGGCCTTCTGCTATGTTTGTAGTAGCACTTTGATTCACCCCCCCCCCTCTCCCCACCCTCGTGCGTGCATTGGTGAGCTGAGGAGCGGGGGAAGCCCGCCAAGAAGTAGCTTGGTATCAGTTTCTCGTCCAGCTGAGCATTCTCATCCAGCGAGAGCAGAACCATGGAGACCTTGAGCGAAAGACCTCGAGAGTGAGATGAGAGGGAAGTTGCAAATAGTCACAGAATTGCGTCGCGAGACAAAAGTCGAAGGCCTGAAGGCATGGCGATTTTCCTCTTTGGCTGGATCTCCTTGGGTATATTTTTGAGGGCCTTGTGTGCATGTAGAGGTCGTTGGTCACTTCTATCCACAGATCAGGTGTGAAGCAAAGAGAACCAATGCTATAGCGACCTGGGGGGGGCATGAGGGTCTTAATTAAAGGTCTCCTCACTCACGGAGGTTTCTGACTGGGCCTTGGCTCCGCCAGGATTTGATCAAGACTCTTTGTTCGGAGCTTCAGCTTCCAAGCTGCACGTGGCACCAAAGATCGGTTCGTGGAAGAATTTCATGGATCCTAAGCTACTAGGAACAAAGGGCATCGCTACTAGGAACAAGGACGCTACTAGGGGCGCTCCTGGCCTTACTACTAGGAACAAGAAGCTACTAGGAGCAAAAAAGGGCATCGCCAAGAGGGACGTGGGGCCGAGGAAGGATGCTTGCGCACCTCGCACGCAATGGTTCTTGCACGTGTTCCTTCCAAAGCTGTCGGAGCCGTTCCTTGCAGCGAGCGCTCTTCCAGTTGTGGCGCTAAAACTAGCTAACTACTGCAACTAGCTACCCCAAACCCCTAACCCCTCCACACCAATGAACTACAAAAATGAAAAAGGGTTTATTAGGCATTGTTCAGCTGCAGCATCTAGGCAGGCACTTTGATCAAGAAGCTGGTTGGTGAACACTGGTTGGAAAAGGTGGGACAGACAGAGTCTGTGTTTGTTTGTGTGCGTTTTTTGTCGGCGGCGAAGTTGTAGGAGGCTAGGACCTAATTAGGGCAAGGACACTTCAACAAATGATAAAGACGAGTGATGCAGAGGCACAGGGCGAGAGAGAGAGAGAGAGTACGAGAAGGAAAGAAGGAGGAAAAAGAATAGCGGCAAATAGGCACACTGTACGGAAAGCTATCATAAACTCTTTCATGTTTTTTGAAGCTTTACAGGTTTTGGCTGTTGAAACTTGACTGAGTTCCACATATGCTAGCTTTTTTGTCACATGCCTCAGGTGGAGGATTTGCGTTACGTTCCGCAGCATCGGCTGGAAAGCTGGGGAGTCCCCTTGAAGTTGCCTCTCGACATGGTGAGCAAAGCCAGCAAAGCAGAAGCAGATGAAAGCGTTTGCGCCGCGTAGTTTCAAAGGAATGGATAGAAAGGGTTCTGGAAGTATTCGAACTTTTCGTTGAATTAAACTTGGATATGGCTTTGTGTTCCCGCTACCGCTAGATCTCAGGATTGATGAGATCTACGATTTCTTGGCGGAAAATGCTCCTCGGCGACAAGCCCATTGGTGTTTTGAACAGAATGAGTTTGAAAGAGCCAGAGCGTTCTTTTTTAAAATCAGCTCAGTGAAAGGAGACATGTGACAAAATCACTGAGCTGATTGATCCACCATTAGTGATTTCTCGGGTGGATCCTATGGTGGAATGATCCTATTGGATCCACTGAGCTGATTGATTTCACTATTGTATATATATATATATAAATATGTGTCATATATCTATCCAATAGTGAAAATGCGATGATCCTAATTCTATGTGTGATGCCGCGATGCCTGTTACCACCATTCATCACCTCTTGAGGAGGCAGACGAAGGAGCTCATGGATCCCCGGCGGCAGACACCTGAAGATTGGTGTCCTCCCCTGGCAACAACCGGCAATTCATAGCATCCGGGCTTTTGGAATACTTCATGATTCCCTATCCTCCTACCATTCATGCAGTTTGAGCACCATAACTGCGAGCTTTCAATCTAAGACTTCAATGCGTATGTGAACTACACCTTGCGACCGACCATGCAGAGCTACCTTACTCCTTCTATCACGCCCTGAGCTCAACACCACTCAAATCAACGGCTGGCACCAAACTTGCAAAGTGTCTTGTCACACCATTTACTCCTTGTAGGTTCAGCAAACTCAGGGATGATGCTGAAAAGTCTTGAGCCTAGGAAAGCGGTTCAGCAATGCATGTGCTTTTGATGTGTGGTGTGCACCTTTTGGCTGCTGTGCGGTGATTATAGTAGATTATAGTAGGTTGGAGGCCATCGCTCTTAGGTTGGTATGCGGTGATTTCTCATTGGTTGCTTTGGTGGTTGAGACTAGGCGCCGGCAGCCTCGAACCTGGGCAGCCAAGCGTTTGCAACGGTGGTTCCGACATCGGCATTTGGGCAGCAGTATGACCGACATGGTGAGCAGTATGAGGTTCCAGAACGGAGAAGGAAAGGAAGATAAAGAGAAGAAATGGCAGCACATCAATGCAGTTCTTGCTCCTGTCAGGCTTGAGTTAATTCCCTCAGCTAAAACCGAAGCTGAGATGAGGTTCCACAATGTCACATGACATGACTGGTCAAAACAGTCGACAACTTTCGAGCTAGCTAGAACCTTGTAGATACCACCCTCCCTGGCTGTGCACAAGACTGGTGCAAGTCAATGAATGCAAGAAGGAGCCTTGCCATTCTCCTTTTGATGCCGCCAATTCTGTGGAATCTCCACCAAGGCAGCAACAGCGTGCAAGGCCCAAGATGGTTCTTTGAAAATGCTGAAGCAATGATGATTAAATGCTTTGGATCGACCATCTTCACTGTGCAGGAAGCCAGTGATCACTGTCCGCGCCCTGAATCGATGTTGCTTCTGGCTTTTACATGTCGAGCTCGTGCTCGTGCTCTAAGTTCTACATATAGCTTCAAGCAACTAAATCGAGCAATCCAATTGATTCCAGTTTGTTGTTTTTCGGACTTTGTCTCCAGGAAGATCAAGTTCTGTCATGGGTTGAGGAGCTCATGTTTATAAGTTATCATGCTGAGGGTGGGAGCCAGCTGGTAAACCAGCGTGGTCATGTGGTTCGTGTGACAAATTGTGCTTCGTTCCCCCCACGTGCCCGTGAGGACGGGGACTTCTTCAAGCCGGACGCTGGCAAATCTCAGGAGAACAGACACGTCGGTAGCAAGTCCGGGTGGTTTCACAAGAAAACAAAGATCATAGCGATGATCTGAGAATATTCGTTTGAATATGTGCATATGATTCTATGTTTCGAGACAATCATCCCAATCTTTCCGTTGGACCAAATTCACGTTCCCAAGAAAAGAACCGTTCCCAAGAAGACGCAACTGATGAATGTCAACACGCCGAGGGGGTGCACACAGTCTATCCAACATGCTGAACACACTGCTACAATTTGGGGTCAGGCAAGACATCAACAAAATGCACTAAAAACCCATGCACAAATGAGTTCGTGCAAGAAAGTCGGATGATCGCAATCCTTACAAAACAAAGAAAGCCCGTTCTAACATGCAACGGCGCATGTTAGTTTTATTCTTGATGACATCATGGATTGAGCTCTTTTTTTTTTCTCTCTCTCTCTCTCTAGAAGCATTGTCCTTGTGGGAGCTGAAGGAAATTGTTGGAAAACCCTGCGAAATGTGAAATATCCGGAATGTGCAGGGTGGAGGCCATCCCTATTAGGTGGGAGGCCATCGCTAGTAGGTTGGAGGCCCATGCAGGAAATGTCTCATGATCTTGGTCTTGGGTCCGACAGCCTGGCTAACAGGAGACCCGGGAGAAAAGGGCAAAGGAGTCTCTCAAAAAGGGCGTCGCCAGGCCTTCCATGCGGAGAACAGATGGTGAGACGCCAGCAGTGCTACACCCGCCTTGAGTGGAAGGATAGCATCAACCCTTGTTCTTGCTTCATTGTGCAGATGATGCATTTCTATGCCAGTCTTTGCAAAGGTGGCGTGCACGAAAAGCCCGTGAGAAGGCCGAAGGTCTGAGTGGCTCGGGCCTTGATGCTGGAACTTACAGGGCTTTGCATAGGATGGCCTCCACCCTAGTAGCGATAGCCTCCAACCTAGTAGCTTCCAACCTTATAGGAATGGCCTCCACCCTATAGTAGCGATGGGCTTTCACAGGCCTTGCATACTTTGATTCTTAGGCCCACAACAACGTGCACCACCTGCTGATTCGTTCTTGGCGAAAATCGTGGAGACCAGCAGCAAGCCCAGAATGGCCACCCATGTTATTTCTAGTTACTAGTTGTTTTGTGTCCTCATCGACAATAGGATCGACGTCAATTGCACAGGTCCCAACACCATTCCGGCCTTCCTAGCACAAAGGGCAGTGTCAATCTCGGAATCTGTGCCACGTCTCAGGCTGCCAAACCGAATTTCGTAACGCTCAGGCTGCCAAACCCAGGGATTGCGAAGTGTATCAACTCTTCACCGAGCTACTTGCCGCAGGAAGGAGTCAATCGTGACATGCTTACAGGCCATTGTCAGTCAACCCGGTAAGTAGTAGCTCTATATATATATATATAGTTAAGTCGCAGTACTACGCTTAAAGCTTCTTCGGCGACGCAGAAGGGCTCAGGCTTAATGATTGGGTTCCATTTTAAGGGACACTTAACTGATAGCAATGGCCTCCACCCTAGTGGAAATGGCCTCTACCCTGGTAGCAATGGCCTTCAAGCTACTTGCGATGGCCTCCAACTTTATAGTGATGGCCTCCAACCTACTAGCGATGGCCTCCAACCTAATAGGGATGGCCTCCAATCTACTAGAAATAACCGGGGCTTTCTGAGTTCAACTGTTTTGCCCAAGATTGTGACCGCTATATTGTTGTGACTGTGGAGCCTCTTTACTGGAGGTTTGGGAACAAGCTCAACCAATCAGAAGTCTCTTGGATATCAAACATGTCAAACCGTGTCACACAGCTATCCCAGGACACTGTTGACTTTGAACTTGCCATGTCCGTCAAGCTGAGGAAGAGATGCGACCGTATGTTCACAGGCTTGTGACTATCAACTGGATTGAAGAGAAGGAGCCGTCTTTGCTAGGAGTGTCTGTCTGGGTGCGCGACACCCCATGGATGTTCAGGAGGATTTGGTCCTTGTGGAGGATAGGCATTGGGATGCATGGGCAATTCCTGAGAAATTGGCATGGGCCTTAGGCCTTAGGTTGTGAGAAAAACATGAAAAGCTTCAACGGCATGTTGCTTTCATGAAGTGGAGCTGGAAGTGTGCATTGAGGTTGTTCTTGCAAAAATTGAGGCGCGGCGTGATTTGCATAGTGAATCCTATATGACCCCAGTGGCGTTCATGATGCTTCTTGTACTGTGCAATCATACGTCCAGGGTGGCAAGACAGGCCAGCTGCTCATGCGAAGATGATGTGTAATTAAGTTTTTGGTGAGACTTTGCAGACGGTTCTAAGGTGGTGCAAAGAAGAGCTTCCGCAGAGATTGCCAGTGTGTCTTTCTGTGATGGCAGAGGGGCGTCCCTTTACCAGTTCATGTTGCTGAAAGCTGAGAAAGACACGGGACGCCTGTGGCCGAGAGCAAAATGATGAGCGGGAAGGGGCAATAGTGCAAACCTTTGTGCTTGGATAAATGATTGAGTTGGGAAGTGGATCGCATTCTTAAACTTAGACATGTAGGGCACAATGCTCTTCTTCCAACATTTATTTGCTCTACCCATACCTTTTAGAATGCTCACCTTCTTTCAGTAATTGATGTGGAATCCGGCCACTGATCCCAGGCTGATGTCGAGGCCCCACAGTCTCCAAGGCGACAAGAAGCCATTTGAAACAAAGATTTTGTTTGTGAAGGGTGTTGTGTCTTTTCAGCTGCTTGGTCTTTTGTTTGTTTGAACCTTTGAGATAGATAGATAGATTATGTCTCTGTCCTTTCCATCTCTCTTTGTCAAAAGAAAGCTTTTCGATTAATATACTGTGTCAAGTCCATGTCCTTTCAGGTGGGCCTTAGTTACCTTCTTGTTCAAAGCTGTTTCCTTGAAAGCTCCACCTACCAGAATTCCAGAATTCCATTTGAGCACTTTGGGAGCATATGGCCACGGAGTTTTTTGTCACGCACCCCCATTACCGAGCCACATCATGTTCCTGATGCTTCCTCAAACGGAGAAGAAGTCACCTAGAATTGACAAAGTCACACATGTCCCATTAGGTTGGACCGTAGGCCATCGCTCTTAGGACCGGAGGCCATCGCTATTAGGGGGATGCCACCGCAGCCACAGGCAGCTGACAATCACCTTGCCAGACCCCACCGAAGCGAAGTGTCTTGGATGATTTACAAAAACGCATCCAGGAGCTACGTTCGTAGCGTCCGATCGCTCCTAGTACGGCCAGGAGCCCCGATCGTAGCTTTTTGTTACTATAGTTGTGAAAGTGAGCAATTGACATGGAATCCGTTGTGCCTTGAGAATGGCCACATGTTCGCCGGTCATTTTTCTCTCAAAGGCCTAAAGCCATTTAGACTACGCGACTAGCCTTTCGCCGGAAAACCATTTGCTTTGCTGGCTCGTTGTGCGACGGCCTGCTACAGTGGCACCGGAGCCTTGGCGGTCCATCACCTGTGGGTGTTGAGCTGTTGTTGTTGGGCACGCGCCCTGGCTTGCTTGCGCTGCACTCCGTGGACTTGCTTTGCATTGTGGCCACGCTCCCCTCTGAGTTTGCTGCGGGTGATTTGCTTCCTCACCCTTGCATCGATCTCGGCGGACGAAGTTGTGACCTTGCCTGGACCCCGCTACTTGTTGTACTCCCGCAGGCGCAGGAGGAACCTTCACGGCTGGTGGTCCGAATTCACCTTTTTGCCGCTCAGTGTTTGAAAGAAGTCTCACTACATCCTTGACCTCCATTTCGTCCTTGTCTTTGCCTTAGGCATCATGTCGGACGAGAAGGATGGAAATGGCGGCGCATGGGCTCGCGTCCCAACATGGCGAGGATTCAAGCGGGAGATGGATTGGTGGTGCTCGGCCTTAGATTTGGCCTCAACGACCAAGTACAACTTGGCAGCTCGATGGTTGCTACGGCAATCAGGGGTGGGGCCATGAAGTTTTGGCAGTTGGAGCCTTCCCCATGACGAACGAGTTCGTGGCAGCTTTTGAACAGTCTCACCTCCATCCACAAGAGGTGAATGTTGCTGGCAAGCTCTCTGCCGACAAAATGCTTGTTGGAGCCCTTGATTCAGCTTGCAACCGCACGTGCACTGGGACAGAGTGGCTCAACAACTACCTCCGTTGCCTGAGAGATGCCCCCGAAGAAGTTCGTGGTTTGGTCAAATCCCACAAGGAGTATGAGACCTTCAAGTTTGGCAACGGTGGAACCCAGGTCAGTGTTGCACGGTGGCGCCTCCCCATGCAGTTAGATGGCTCCATCATTTGTTTTTGGACTTCATTGGTGCCGGTTCCTTCACTGGGGTTGCTTTTAGGTCGTGATTTTCTAGAAGCAATTGGAGCTGACATGCATTTTGCCCATCGCACCCTTCGATGTGAACACCTCACTGGCAAGCCGATTGCCTTGAAGCAGCTGGCTGCAGGTCATTTCCTCCTGCCATTGGTGCCAATTTGGTTCGTCTTTGAAGAGCAGTTCACATGACCACCTCCTGACAGAGCAGAGCGTACGGGTGGGCCATTTGGTTTGTGCAGTTCTTCGCTCACCTGATGTTTTTGGCTCATCGGTTCAAGCTCAAGGTGCGTCCATGGAGCCGGAAGGGACGACTGATCGAAATTCGAGTTCCTCTTCCTTGACTACTTCACCCTCCAATGTTCGGCGGATGGATGACTGCAGGCAACCTCTTGGGAGGCGAGAGCGCCAACATGGAGGTGAAGGTCGGAAGATGGAAGCGGATGTACCTCCGCATGGGAGAAAGGTTTCGCTGGGCAGCAAAAGGATTGCTCCTTTGGCTTTTGCAAAGGCCCTACTTGCGATATCTGCCATTGCCCTATCCCTCAACTACCACGACAGCAGCTTGGTTGGCTCAGGTGCGCAAGCAGGTTTCCGATGGAACTATCCCTCCAAGGTACCTCAAGAACTGCCTGGAGAAGAACCTGTTCACCATGAGCAACTTGGCAGAATGTCGGCACCTTCGCAACCGGGTGGGGCTCAGGACATCGTTCATCGAAGATCCCGTCCTGGCAGGAATGATGGCAGCGCAGACGACAAAGGGCATCGCAGCCAAGCTGAGGAGTGCTGCTCAGAAGGAAGCCAAGGAGCTGGCCAAGAAAGCAGAAGCCGACGGAAGTCGAGAACAAGAGGCTCGGGCACTCATTGGCCCACGAGGAGGTCTTCCTACCCTTCGAGCCGATCTGGTGAAGTTGGCTGCTTTGTTTCATGTGGATTTGGGCGAGAAAGACTCCGTGGCTCAGATCGAAGAAAAGGTGAAGCCTATGATCGAGATCCTCAAGAACAAGAAGCCAGCGGTAAGCCCAGCAAAGGCCAACACGGCCGAAGAGATTTCAGCGAGCTCTTCCTCACCGCCCGCCAGGCTGTTTCACGACAACCCCAAGAAGCTGGCAGTTCAGCAGCAAGAGATGAGGGCTATGATGGAGCAGATGTCTCGCGAGCTGGCATTGCTGCGCTCACAAGTGACTCCGGAGATGGAGGTGGATCTCAGTTCAGAGCCAAGTCTGATTCCAGACTCGCCTCAGGATGCATCACCCGTGAACTTCACCGAGGCCGAAATTCGGGAATTGAATGGTCAAGCCTACGAGGAGCTGCACGGAGCCAATTTGACTGCTCAGTTCGGGGACGACATTCCGGCCGAAGTGACGCAGGAGATCCGTCTGGGTCTCAGGGACGGAGCAGGGATGTGAACCCCCGCCCTCATGAGTTCAGACTTCACCAAGATCTGAAACCTGGTCAAGCCCAACTGGTCGCTCAAGCCTGGAGTCAGCATGAACAAGATCGGAAGAAAGCGTCACAATCTCCAAGGCAGATGAAAGAGTTGCTGGTGGCTGACCATGAGAAGGAGATGTTGGACTTCATGACCGAAAAGAGACCTTCTTCCAACCGTTTGAATTGTGTCTTCCGGGTGACAAGGTTCTTGCCGGTTTTGAGGCCCTTCAGAATGAGAGCCAGCCCAAGAATGTCTTGATTTCCAAGAATGTCAAGCCCCCCGACAAGGAGCGGTCCCTTGTGTCTGAGGTCTACACCACTTCGCAGAATGTCATGCGAGAGGCTGAACGAAGAGGCCACAAGGTGGGTCCGGCTATGTCGTTGGACAATGGATGGAACTTCCTTTTGGCTGAGCACCGAAGCCGGGCATTGAAGGTTTTGGAGGAGGAGAAGCCTTACTGCGTGGCGCTTGCTTTTCCATGTGGGCCTTTCAGTCCACTACAGTACTTCAACACTCGAGGATTGACTTCCTTGGATCAACGTCAAGCTGATGGTTTGGTCCTGATGGAGTTTGCGATTGAAGTCGCAAAGCTGCAGATGAAAGGTGGTCGACACTTCATCATGGAGAACCCGCTCCCGAGTTTAGCATGGAAGACACTCCCCATGCAGAAGTTCATCGAGGAGCGCAATGTGGAAATAGCAGTGTTTGACCAATGCCGGTTCAACCTTCGCAGCCTTGTGAGTTGCATAGAAAATCCACACAGCTGGTGAGTTCAAGCCCCAGGGTGATTGCTTTGTTGGATGGCCTTCGTTGCAGGCGTGACCATGCGGGCATTTACCCAAAGCCGCTGGCACGCGCCTTGGTGGAGGGGATCATGGTAGACTGACCTCAAGATCAGTCCTTCCTTGAAGAATGCCATCAAGCGCCTACATGAGAACACTGGCCACAGAAGCAATCGTCGCTTGGCTCGAGCTCTTGCAGTTGCAGGTGCTCCTGTGGAAGCTATAGCTGCTGCCAAAGCCCACAAGTGCTCTCTTTGTCAAGAACGTGCACCTCCGAAAGTCAGGAGACCAGCACCATTGCCGACTCCAAAGGACATCTCAGATCAAGTTCACGTTGACCTGCTGGAGATAGAAGATGCTGCAGAAACACGTTTCTATGTTGCCCATGCCACGGACTTTGCAACACGTTTTCAGGTTGCTGAGGTTCTGCCGGACAAGTCCTCCAAGTCAGTGATTCAGTTCTTGACTTCAAGGTGGTTGGCCATGTTTGGTGCTCCCCGAGTACTGGTGGCAGATCAGGGCAGAGAGTTCGTGAGTTGGGAAATGGAAGAGTGGGCAAGTTCAGTGTCCACAATGCTGCACCACATTGCAGTACAAGCCCCATGGCAAAACGGTGTGGCAGAGAGATCTGGCAGCACACTCAAAGCGATTCTGACTGCTGTCATTCGATCACATTCTGTGATTGGTGCTGAGGAGCTTCAACGTGCTCTGAGTGAGGCTGTGGCGCCCTACAATCAAGATGTGAATGACAGTGGCTTCTCTCCCTACCAGGCGACATTTGGACGACAGCCGAGGATGGTTGGTGACACTTTGGGCAGCATTGAGTCTCGCTGGCGAATGCTCATAGAAGGGAGAACTTCACATGCAAGGTTGGTGGCTTTGCGCGAGACGGCCAAGGTTGCGATGATGCGACTCCACTACAGCAGGGGACTACGCCGTGCTGAGTTGGCCAGAAGTCGAAGCACCACCATGGAGCAAGTTCCAACACCTGGCACAATCTGCTACTTCTATCGGCCCCTGAGGTTCAACAACAAGACCAGCCCTAGTCGAAAGAGGTTGACTTTGAAGAGATGGCATGGCCCTGCGTTGTTGGTGGCTACTGAAGGACATGCTTCCGCCTTCTTGAGCTACAAAGGTCAGCTGACCAAGGCAGCCATGGAGCACGTCAGAGTGGCAAGTGGGCTCGAGCAGATTGCTGCTGGCAGTTGGCAAGACGCCATTGAAGAAGTGGTTGAGGCAGCGCAGCATGATTTGACGTTGCGAGGTCTTCCAGCTGCTCCACCTGTTGCTCTACCAGAAGAACCAGAGGAGACAGCGATGCCGATGACCCCTGCACTGCAACCACCGGTTCATCAACGTGGAGTCCCAGGAGCTGATTTGCCTCCAGTGAAACCTGAAGAGTTGGTCCAAGTGGCGCAACAAGCAGCTCCTATTCCTTCGATGGTTGGATCCTCTGCACTTCCTTCGAGGAGGATCAGTGATGTGACAGGCATGGGACCTGCACCTGGCTCACCCGTGCCTGAGCTCATTCGACGTGCTGGAACTGCTGGCGGCCTCCTGGCAAGACAGATTGCCCAAGCCAGAGACCTGGCTGAGGAGAGTGGTGGCATGAAGCGTCCAGCTGAAGTCGATATGGAAGCATTGGCTGAGCAATCCGCCTTTGATGGTGCTCGCTCTTCACCTTCTGCACCTTCCGGTGTCAACGAGTCGCTGGTGATGGCTTTTGAAAAGGGTGAGGATGAGTTGATGAAGCAGCTCCAGCATGGCAAGGAGCATCCTTTGCGAGTGATCGCAAGCCTGGCTGACATCGATAAGCAGCAGCCTTTGGATGCAAAGGTCAAGGACCATGGAAGCTGGGGAGGACGATGGGACTTGCCTTCTCGCTCCGAATGGCAACTTCACCAAAAGCTTGGATGGAGCTGGCCTACTGGCTCGCATGATCTTGAGGCCCTCTTGGCCAGTGCTGCGCACAAAGAGCTGTTCTGGAAGAACATGAGCCCGGAGGAGAAGATCGCCTTTCGTGAGGCAGCCAACTCCCCATGGCCGAGTCAGAAGCAATTCGAAAGCGGCTCCGCTTGAACAAGGAGGTGGGCAAGATTTTGACCCCGCGCTTTGTTTTCACGGACAAGCACAGTGGTCTCCGCACGGCTGACCGACCTCTACCTCTCAAAGCTCGAGCAAGGGTGGTGGTTCCTGGCTTCAGGGACGTGCTTTCATTTGCAATTCGCAAAGATGCCCCCACTGGTTCTCGTTTGAGTCAGCACATGCTTCTGATTTGGACTGCTAGCCACAACAAGTTTGTGAAGGGTGAGAAAGATGCATGGCGTCTGGTGAGCGCTGATGTGAAAAGCGCGTTCTTGAAGGGCGACCCCTACATGGCAGGTGATCGTGAACTCTATATGGAGAACATGAAGGACAGCGAAACTTCAGATGCACCTGGCTTGCCTTTTGGTCGCGCTTTGGCAAAGATTCGGAAGGGTGTGTTTGGCCTCTCCGATGCACCACGCCAGTGGTACCTTCGACTCAACCGGGCATTGCTGGAGCAAGGTTGGGAACGCTCTCCCATGGACTATGCCTACTGGCTGCTGTGGTCTGAGGACAAGTCCACCTTGGAGGGAGTGATCATCTCCCATGTGGATGATTTGTTGCTTGGAGGCGGACACCGTGCACAAGCTTTGCTGCAGGACCTTGGGCAGATCCTTGGTTTCGGAAGTGTGGAGTATGATGACTTCACCTACTGCGGGAAGCACATTCGACAGCATGATGATGGTTCCATCTCCATCTCCATGATTGAGTACCACAGCAACCTACAGCCTGTCTCCATAGCAGTGCACCGACGTGCACAGACTTCGGCAGAGCTCAATAACAGCGAGCGTCGGCAGCTCAGGGCAATCCTGGGATCTTTGCAGTGGCTGGTGGCACAGCTGAGGTTTGATTTGGCATATCACCTGAGCGTGTTGCAGGGTGAGAAGCCGACTGTGCAGACCCTCATGCGTGCCAATGCATTGCTCAAGCGCTTCAAGAAACACTCACAGTTTGAGTTGAGGTTTCGACCTTTTGGAGCAATGGGGCATAATGGTGGTGACCGACTCTTCCTTGGGTAACACCAACAAGGATGGTGGTGATTCTGGCAACATCCTGGAGAAGATCTACTCCCAGAGTTGCTACTATGTCCTGGTCGCTGACAGCGACCTGTTGGCTGGAAGAGAAGGGAGCTTTTGTGTCCTTGACTCTAGGAGTCACCGCCTGAGCCGTGTTTGCCGCTCGACGTTTGCAGCTGAGCTCTTAGGAGCAGAAGAGGGCATGGACGCTGGCATGTTCTGCCGTGGCCTGCTGGCCATCTTTAAGGGCTTCCCAGCCCAAGAGAGGATGCAGGATGAGATCCTGGAGGCTGTTCCTTTCGTGCAGATCACTGACGCGAAAGACCTCTTTGACAAGGGGAACAGTGACACTGCCACATATGGAGCCCAGAAGTCCCTTGGCTTCACCATTGGTTGGATCCGCGCCACGTTGGCTCGGGCCTGCACGTTGAAGTGGACCAGCACAAGCAATATGTTTGTGGATTGTGGGACAAAGGACATGGATGAGTCCTACCTGCACCGCATCCTAGCTTCTGGTCGTTGGTGCTACACGTTCAACAAAGCCTATGTGAAGCAAGGGAAGCCAAGCAGAAAGCAGCTTGCTTTGAGCTCTTCCTCTGCAGCCTTGGACGGAGAGCCGCTGAATGAGGCTTTGCCAGTTTTCGCCTTCCTCCAACAGCTTGCTGAGAGTCCCGGATGGCACCACAAGGGTGAGGTTGTGACCCATGTAGCTCACCATGCTAGGTCCTATAGGAGCCCCATCGGGAGATATGAGATTGAAAAGTACCCCATCCGAACGACGTATGCTCGATTTGACCTGGACACCGGAATCTCCCATTGGCGGATCCTAGAGGATCATGTCAAGATGAGGTCATTGACCAACCGTCAAGCGCTCCTTTCAACTCCGGCTCGAGTGTTGATTTCCATTTTTACCGGATACTCATGCCAACAAGAAGATAGAGCAGCTGTGAAAGTGAGCAATTGACATGGAATCCGTTGTGCCTTGAGAATGGCCACATGTTCGCCGGTCATTTTTCTCTCAAAGGCCTAAAACCATTTAGACTACGCGACTAGCCTTTCGCCGGAAAACCATTTGCTTTGCTGGCTCGTTGTGCGACGGCCTGCTACAATAGTAGTAAGGCCGGGAGCTACTAGTAGCTTCATTGCTTCCAGTAGCGATGCCAGGAGCCTCTAAGTAGCTCCAAATGTTGAGCTGGATTTCTTCTTGCAAGGTGAACACTGAGTTGTGCAAGCACGTACAATTTTGTTTGCACAACTCGAGTTCCAACTGGCACGTCAAGCATCGTCAAGCCATGTTTTGTTTCTTCAGGGTTTTGTCGTTCCCCAGGCAGAGTGCTGTGGTGGGAAGACTTAGGGGACAAGCACAAAGCACTCTTTTTGTATTTTACTTGTACGATGGAGTTCTTTGTTTCAGCATGTTTCAGCATTGTTCCTTGACACGGTTCTTTCAAGCTGGGTTTTTCCGCTTCCGACATGAGGCATTCTGGCCAAAGCTCCTGAATGATGAAGAAGTTGCTCCACCACCCAGTCAAGTTGCGCAATCAAGCCATGAATTAAGCCAATTTGTTGGCAAGTTGCCAAGGTCAAAGTATTAGCCTTCAGCGGCTTGGCAGACTCACAAAGCCAGTGATGCGCCCAGAATCGCCCAGATGTGAGGATTTGGCCATGAACGCAGCGAACGCATGAGAAGTCATGGATTCTGCAGTGGTTGGTCGCCTGAATGAAAAGATGTGAAGTGATAGCAGGCACAAAGTGATCAGGGTACAAATAAGATGAGCAAATCAGAATGTAGCGGTATGTGAACATGTGCTCCTGAAATGAGAATGGGCATTGCTCTCAAAAGGCTTGTGCAGTGGAGCATTGACATTACCTCGTGATACTTCGTGTTTAATGGAATTGTCCTGGGAAGCTTTGGGCCTTGGGTCATGTAGGGAAGGAAGGAGTTTGAGAATAACATAGCTTCATCAGAACATTCCTCATGAGGTGGTCGACTTGCTACTTGCAAGCGCGGGGTCAGAAGCCAAGCCAATGGGTTTAGGGATCGCTCCTTAGGGGCAGTGTGCTGAGGCCTTTCATCAGCTATGGCCTGGAAACACGGCTCTATATTCTGCTTCGCTCGTGTTTTCATGTGCTGTGGGAAAGAACATCAAAAACAGTATGGATCAGTTTGTCGCTAAAGCTGTGAAGATTGAGGATCCTCCTGTTCCAACAGATTCGTAGGTATTTTGTGAACGAGCCAAGGTGCGAATACTCCAGAAGCTCAAGGATCTTGCTGTCGGGAGCCCTACGTTCGACGGGCCAGTCGGGCCCTGCACCAGACACTCAGTTCTTGAGCCCCTAGTAGCGTTGTTGTTACCTCTGTAGTAAGGCACTTGTTACTAGAAGCGATGCACTTGTTACTACTAGTAAGGCACTTTGTTACTAGTAGCGTGCTTTGCCCAACAGTTATCATGACCGCTGCCAAATATTGCCAAATCAAAAATTTGCGTGAAAGCGTTGTTTTAAGCTTTGCTGTAGATACACTTGTTCTCCAAATCCAGGTCTTTGTGGACCGCCAAGAAGGTGGCTGGAATCGGCTTCAGGGGAGTCAAGCACAAAGGCGATAGCTGCTCCTGCTTGAAAGCAACAGCGCATGAAAGTTGCAAGGATTTGCAAGGTCATTTCCAGCACCTGCTGAGCATTGTTCTTCTCCGAAGCTTCAAAAGCGATGTTGTTTTTGTTAGTACTTGTGTTCAAGCAGGCTGCGGTCTCGTTGTGTGCGACCCTCAGTTGCACTTGAGCATGGCTTATGGCGACCCTCAGTGACGTGTTCAAGGATGTTGGGACCAAGGTGGTATAGCATTCCTCGGTTCACCGGGATGCTACTAGTAACAAGTGCCACGCTAGTAGTAACAAGTGCCTTACTAGTAGTAACTAGAAGCTACTAGAAACAAGTGCCTTACTACTAGTAACAATAAGAATCTGATTCGAATATGCGTTTTCGGATCCCCCGGGATCCCGGCGAAGGCGGCAGCGCCCTGGCGCTCTTGCCATCAGCCGAGCGCGGTCCGTGAGGTCGATGTTAGGGACGGCGCAAATGCTCCGCATGTCCAAGGAGATTCGTGCAGAATGGGTCGCGGAAGTGGCCCCTGCAACTCAGGCAGCGCCTAATTACATAATCCTAAAATATCCTAAAACCCTAAACCCTATGGCCTCCGACCTAATAGCGATGGCCTCCAACCATCCCACCCAATTGGTGCCACTCTCTCTTTGTTTTGCTTTTTGGTCACAGATGTCTTCGTGCATGCCCCCGTGGAAGATCCGGCCGGGCATCACCTGGATTTCCTGAACATTCACCACGTCATGGCATGATTAACAGGGATTCCTGCCAAGACCTTTCAACACCATCACTGCCGATGCGAGTCTGACTCACTTCAGGAAGCTGCGTCAAGCAAGTTGTTCAGAGCCCGACCAACGTTGGAACACCATCGCGAAGGCATTGATCAGGATATGAAGGAAAAGCATCCAGTTCACCATCTGGTCAAATCAGCCAGGAAGACTATAGACTGCTTGAATTTCGACACCCTCCAAATCATATAGTGTGGGCAAAGTCGGACAAAAAGCAGTGAAAGGACCTTGTTTCCAAACCTGGCGACAAACTCACTACCTAGCACCGATCCCCTCAAAAGGAAGAGGCAGATGAATGGGGCCTAACCATGTTGAGCAAGCACGCATCGATTGCAGAACAAGGCGCGGGCGAATCCTTTCAACATTTGCCGTGCCTCGCCCTAGCACGCGCATCGGCATTCAGCTCGCACGCTTTGGTTTTCCCTCCAGTTCCAAGTCTCACGTCGTGGATTTGTTGCTACTTCTGTTTTTGCTGCTACTAGTAAGGCACTTGTTTCTAATAGCTTCTTGTTACTACTAGCTTGGTTAGCTGCTGCATGCTGCTTCTGTTTCTCTTCCTGTTGTTGCGCCATTCCTGCTAGAGTGGCCGTTGTTGAAGTTGTCGTTCTGCAGGTCCGCTCGGCGCGGTTTTGTGGAAACACGATTTCGGATGTGTTGCCGGCTTGGTGCCTTACTAGTAGAAGCAAGAAGCTATTAGTAGTTCCTGGCATTACTAGTAACCAGAAGCTACTAGTAACAAGGGAAGATCTTACACTATATTAGTTAAGCTTGTTCGGTTTTTCTCCTAGGTTGAGCATCATGTGGTCACCACTGGTGGGGCTCTGCCAGTGCCCTGTCGCAAAGTTGCTTAGCTCATGCCTTGAAACGCCTGGAGCTGGAAGACGAGAAAGCGGACAATCTGACAATCCAAACTGTTCAACGCAGTGAAATCCCACATCAATCTTTGGTTCAGCAACGTTCAGCAAACCTTTGGTCCATGTCGAGTCCACCCTATCTTCAAGGATCACCAGGCAGTTTTTGCCAAGCCCAATTCTAGCAAACATGTTGCTGTAAACGCTGTGCTCTCTCCCTTGCACAAAGGACCCCAGCCATTTTGATGGTGGCTCACTGTTCACAATTGCGCAGAGCTCAGCTCTTGCTAGACTTCAGTCAAGCTATGTTCATGTTCAGCACGCAGAATCAAGTAAGGATGTGATGCTGAGTGCACCCGGAGTCGACTTTCAAGGCCTGCACTATTTCAGCTTTTCTGTGGCTTAGACAGCCCTTGGTGGCACCTAAGGCTCAAGGTTGGGTGTTGTTTGGCATGGAGGTGGAACATAGTGTGTTGCACGGTAAGTACAGAACGCACTTTGGTTGCCTCCATTCAGCATTGCCAGGTGGTGACTTTTGTACCCTTGAAAGCTCGACTCTCGGGAAAGTGCAGCCCAAGGAGTTGAACTAGGTATATATTTTTTGTTTTTGACATTTGTACAGCTCGTGTAGTCTACAGGCTCGTAGCTAGTTTCGTAGCTGCTTCAATGTTCGCAGACGGTGCAACCCAGAATGTCAACACACAGTCACATGCATGTGTTTTGAAACACATTCCCTGTGATCTGGCTGGATGGTGTTTACACGGGTTACACGCATGAATGTGTGGAATTTGGTGGGCACTTGGACTTTTTGAACCTGTTATATAGTAGCTTCTTGTTACTAGTAGCGATGCCAGGAGCCCCTAGTAGCTTCTTGCTCCTAGTAGTATGGCCAGGAGCCCCTAGTAGCTTCTTGTTCCTAGTTATATAATTGTGGCAGAGCACCTTCATGTTTGTAAACCTTTTGACGCTTGTCAATATGAGATCATGGAATTCGATCCAGAACGCTGGGTCTTACATATGCATGTTGCTGGCCAAGGTGATGACACCCTAGTAGCTTCTTGT